ATAAACTCAAAATGAGTCAAATACCTAAATATGAAAGCTTAAACTCTTAGAAAAAATATAGGGGGATACCTTCATGACCTTGATTTGACAACAGAGTCTTAGATATGACACAAAAGCTTAAGCAACAAAAGAAAACAGTAGATAAATGGATTTTATCAAAATTAAAAACTTTTATACTTCAAAAGATACTAGCAAGAAGTGAAAAGACAACTTACATAATGGGAGAAAATATTTACAAATATGTATATCCGATGAGGGACTTATATCTAAAATACATAAGAAACTCCTAGAATTCAATAATAAAAAGATAAAATAATCCATTTTAAAAATGGGCAAAGGACCTCAATAAACATTTAAGATATACAAATAGCCAACAGGTACATAAAAAATTCTCAACATTATTAGTCAGCAAAAAACTACAAATCTAAACCATAATAAAATGCCACTTCATACCCACTGTAATGGCTAGAAACAAAAACTCAGATGATAACAAGTGTTGACAAGGTTGCGGAGAAATTGGAACTTCCAAACACTGCTGGTGGGAATATAAAATGTTACAATCACTTGGGAAAACATTCTTGTGTTTCTTTAAAATATTAAACATTAAGTTACCGTATGACCCAACAACCCACTCCTAGGTATATTCCTAAGAGAAACAAAAATATATATCTTTCACAAGTGTTCATAGCAGCATTTTTCATAACAGTCAAAAGGTGGAAACAACCCAAATATCTGTCAACTGATCAATAGATAAAATGTGGTATATCCATGGAATGGAATACTATTCAGTAATATAAAGGAATAAAGTACTGAAACAGGCTATAACATAGGTGACCCTTGAAAACATGTTAAAAGAAACAAGCTAGTCACAAAAGGCCATATAGTATGATTCCATTTATATGAAATTCAAAACAAGCAAATTTAAAGAGGCAGAAAGTAGATAAGTGGTCACCTAGGGCTGGAGTGGGGGTCAGGTAGAATGGAGATTGACTGCTACTCAGTGGGTAAGGGTATCTTTTCAGGAGGAATTAAAATGTTTTAAAATTAGATAAAATGATTTTTTTGCATAGATAAAATAATTTTTAAAATTTCAAATACTTTTTTTGCATGTATTACCTTTATTACAAAACAATACATGTACTTGGCACTTTGAAAACCAATGGTAACTAGAATAGCAGCTCGGGCACCCTAGGGCTAGCACCCACCCTGTCATTGTGAGCCTGTCTGACTGTAGAACATGCACATGGGTATGTTTGATTATGAGACACTCTGAGGACAAACTGGTGTTATGGAGATTAAAATGGAACCCACGCTAAAGTGGCTTGTGGGCCAGCAAGAGAGGAGAGAAGAGAGATGTCTGTCATTTTGTACTAAACTACTACCCACCTTTTCCCTCTAAAACTCTGCTACCCAACAGCCCTGGTGGTGAAGGTAACATGCTCTGCTTTAGTAAAATAGCAGTCCAGCTGAAAATTTACATGACTCTAGATAAACACTTAATGAGCCTATATGACCGATACAGCATTGAGAGAGCAATGTTTCCAGACATCTCTATATACGCACATTTTCTTATTATGCACACATACGCACTTTTATTCACTTTTTTTTTTTCAATGAGCTGCCAGCTCACATCAGGCTTGGAACCAGCATAGCATCTTTAACTACTTTGCTTCGTGCAGAGAAACTTCAAGGAAATCTTAGGCCATGAATGGGCTTAGAAACTTTTCATTTCAAAGTTGTGCATCTGCCAGAGTGCAGCAATTGGCTCTCTGGTTCCAAGTCCTCCCTGATCAAAAGATTATATTACACCAGTTATGGCCAAGTTTCTCTGAAACCAAAGCCCCTGTCCACTGAACATATCTAGGGCTTTATTGATCTGCTCCCTTGAGGCCAAAAGAAGAAAACACATCCAAAACACCAAACAAAAGCTTGGCCTTAATTAAAGACAATAAAGCACATTATATCAGCACCCATTAAAAATCAAGTGGAGGAATGAAATTTGTCCGTTCTATCAGCTACAGCTTAATACAGTCTTGGAAATAGATCCTAGTGCTATTATACAGGCCAGGGGAGGGTTGGCTATAAGTTTTGTTATGATTGTTTCGATGGATGGAAAAAGCCAATCTCCCTTCCTAAATCTTGAGTAACATTCTCCAGAGTTTCTCCATGAGCATATTAAGCAAGAAACTGGGGTCAGGGTGATCTTCAGGCCTCCTAAGTTATACTCTTAATTAATATATGCTCCTGGCAAAAGAAAAGCCTATCTGAGGTCCTTAAAAGCACACTGTTCCTTATATATGAATTTGTTCATGCACTTATACTCACTTCCTCTTCCTCTCTCCCTTTCTCCTTCCCTCCTTTCCCCACCCACTTCAGAGAAGTGCCCATGCACACACTTTGTACCGTGAGAATGCATCAGGCTGAAGGGACCATTTTGGAGGGGAGGAACAAGTAAGAGTAAGAAGGGGAAATGTAGAATTTTAGCAGCAAAAGCCCTTGCCAATTTGTAGAAATAACACGGAATAGACCCATATGCACCTCCTCCACCCCACTCTGAGGTTTATAGCAGGACTAGTCTTAGCCTTACTTAGAGCTATAAGGCAATGGTCTATAATGGCATGATTTGTGAGGTATGAAACAAGCCATAGGAAACAAGCCCCTCTGTCGAAAACCATCTCCCCTACTAGCAAAGCTGTCTGAAATTCCTCACATTCAGTGCACTCATTAAGGTCCTTTTTAAGGAGACCTATGTGCTAACTATTAGGGGGCAGTATAACATGTTTGCTCACTGTCCCATCACCACCAAGCAAAGCTTTGAGGCGATGGGGATCAGCACATGTGAGCTCTGTGTGGGGTCTAGATAAGCTTGGAGTTTAAGGACAGAAGAACAGTCCCAAGTAAAACTCCATAGAGGGGGATCCAATGGATCCGAGAACAGCTAGGGGTACTGGGTGTACAGATTTCCACAATAGGATATGGAAGCTGGGGCATCACAGATAATTTTTTTTTTTTTAGGCGAAGCAACCCTTGGTTGACCTCACAGATTGAAAAGACCTTGTCAGCTTACGATCCCTTATTTTTTTAATTTTTTACACCTACAGCACCTGATCTTCCTAGGTGGTCTCCTATCCAAGTACTAACCAGGCACAACCCTGCTTAGCTTCCGAGATACAGATGAAATTTTGAATAGGGGTGACAGTGGTGGTTGAGAAACAGTCTTTCCCATCCTTTCTGTGACCAGTTAAAGTATATCTCCCAGTCTCATGAGATGGAGGGAGAAATGGCTTTGGGTTCTTTGTTTGCTTATTTTTTTTTATGTTAATGCAATGATTTCAAGCTATGCCTCAACCCAGCTAGAAGGCTTCACTCTCTGATATTTTAATCACACATTCTGAATTCTAGCTCACCTTCCCCAGTAATCACAGATCTGCAGTCTGAAGGCCAGGAAAGCAAATTAGACCAAGCTTCTTGAAGATGTAGGTCATCCTTACCTTTATCAAACAGAGGCCTCCAGCTCCTAACTAGTGGTAGACCCCAGGTCTCAAGTTCTTGTAGATGTAACAGGGAAGGGTTTCTGTGATCTATTTATTACTCCCTCCACCCAGTGCTCCTGGGGAATGCGGTGTGCATTTGCCATATTTCAACCTATTGAGCTGTGTGGCCCAGATGGCAAGCCTATACACAAGCACAGAAAAAGGCCTCCAGGACATGGCCACATTGGCAATGGCTGCCAACCCAGCCCCTGCATGGAGGGAGGCCAAGAATCCCTGGGACTAAAGGCTCACCAGTGATTTGGCTGCCAAAGGGGGACCTGGATCTAGCTATATGCTTCTTGCTCTGTCCCCATCCCCCTCCAACCTCCCTGAGCTTACCCAGGCTCAGGTTGTTGACCTTCCTGAACTGGCTTCAGATAAGAGAAGTTAATACTGCCACTGAAAATCTTCGATTTCAGCCTCCTCCCTCTCTGGGCATCTTCAGGCTCTTTTTTCTTCTTCTTGCCAAAAAAATTCTTGAAAGCTTTAAATTTGGATTTCTTCTTTCCTGGAAGTTAGAAATGAAAGTGAGTCAGAGTGTGATGGTAAAAGAGAAGACAGGAGAGGAAACAGGAACTTTGCAACAAGGAAGAGGACTATGATCCCCAGTGCCCTGCAGATCTTGGCCCATGCCTTCAGGGACCACAGCATCATATATTTGGTCTGTATTCTTCTTGATAACTCAGTGACAAAGTGTCTGATATTTTGGTGAGAGCAGAAGTCAGGCCCCAGCTTGTGGTCTTTGGGCAGCCTCTACTCGGGCCCAACTCACCAGACATTCACTTTCCTCTCAATCACAACTATTAGCACACACCTTTTTCTTTACCCTAAGAAGTTTATTAGTATGCAGCAATTACTGAGCCAACATAAGTACTTGATATTCCCACTAACTCAACCTCAGTGGCTGGAGTCATCACAATCCAGTTGAAGAGCCAAGCTTCCACATGTGGAATCCAGGTGGGAGCTAGTACTGTCCAGGACTTCAGGACCCTTGGAAATGCATGTGAAAGTAGGTACTGCTCAGCCTGTGTGCTGAAAGGATGCAGACCCAATGAGTGTGAGCACTCAGTTGGTGCCATCAGGGAAGACTTCCTTGAGGAAAGAATTTATTTGCAAGAGAGGAAACTGGGAATCAGAAAGAAGAAAGGGCTACTGGGCAAAAAAGCTGCCTGAGCAAAAGGCATGACAAAATTGGATACCAAAAGGTTTGTAAGGAGTACACATGTGCGTGTGTGTGTGTGTGTGTGTGTGTGTGTGTGTGTGTGTGTGTGTATTGCATGCAGTGTCTGTGTGTTTCAATTGCTGCTGATTGGTTCGGATTATCTATAGCGCTGCTGCCGTCTGCACAGGCAGATAATCGAAAGATTGCTCTGTCTATAATAACTACCAGGGTAGCAGTGAGGACTGTGAGTTTTCGATCCACCTAAGGCTCTGTTTGGGCTTTCTTTAGTTTCTTAATAAACACATATATCTTTATCAGGGCTCTATAGAAAAGGGGAAATGCTGAACTAGGGTTCTTTCTAGCTCTGAAATGCTATGATTTATTCGTGTACTGATTACTCCTGGACCTGCCTATTAGAAGGGTTTCTAAATTTCAAGGCCTGCCATAAGTCCAGTTTTACACCAATCACTACAATCCACGTTTCTCTCTGCATACCTAAAACTTGACTCTTGGCATGACAAGCTTTACATCTGAATGCTCTCTAGTCTGCACATTCATTCATTCATTCACCCATTCAACAAATATTTATTCAGATTAAGCACTTATTATGTTTTGGGTATCAATAAGAAAAGAATAAGATATAATTCTATGTCTTAACTATTGTACCCCCATCAAGGCTATAGGCAAGCCCTCTTTAGCATCCCCTTCAGCAACTAACACAGTACAAGGCATGCAGTAACACTTGAGGAACAACTGAATCCACTGATGGGTGCAAAATACCAATACAGCTTGTTACTTCCCTCAAATTAAGATCACTATGCAGAGTCTTCCTTAAGCATCCTGTAATTTAAGCACTAGCCCTTATTGGGGTTGATGTAAATTGTCAATAATATAGGCAAAGAGCTTAGCATAGCCTCTGGCATGGAGCAAGTGCTAATAAATTTGTGTGATGGTATTAGGGAATCAATAATTTATTGTTTATTAGGGCCAGATTCAATTCCATCTGTATGATTAGTCTATCATTGTATCTATCTATAGATAAGGGGAAACAGCCCTACATCTATAATTCAATAGTGAACTCTAAAATATACATAATTAGAAGCATAAGCCAGCATGGGGTGGGGCAATGAAAGACTATAGGATCGTTTGCTTGATAATTGTTGCTTAAATAATTTCAGTTTTGAATGACTTAGGCAATTTCTGATCTATAAGGATGTAACTATATAAGGTCATGGTTGGGACAAACTTGGCAATTCTATGTAGAGACAGAAAGAATAAAACATGAAGATACAACAGAAAACATATTTTCCTCAGTTTCCTTTTTTAATTTTTTTCAGGAAAAGATAAACTAATTTCTATGACAATAAATATTTTAAATGTTTGACCTCATAGAACTACTATGAATATTCAATGTGAAAATCCTGAAAAGTAAACAGTACAGAGTAGGCTAGCTCTAAAATAATCTATATTTTACTATCTCCCCACCTCCAAACAATTTCTAAAAATCTATGAAATGGTGAGATTTTAATGCAAAATCCTCATTACTATACTACACTAATTACTATAATCAGTTTTTGCTGGAAAACATGTACCAACTGGATCCCTGGGGGAAATGCTTGTATTTGTATTATTTACCTATTTCTGTAGTGCAAATACTCCCACCATGGTCAATTGCAAGTTACTAACATGACATTGGGAAGAGATGTGCACAGTCTCCCAAGTCAGTATAAGTCAGCTCCAAGACAACACTAAGTAATTCCTGCCCAGTGAGGATGAATTGGGCAGTGTCCTCACACACAGGAAGGAGTATGCTATATTTTAGACTTGCAGGCATTGCCACTTTTCAAACAGAAGGAATAAGATTGATTGATTCTTAACAGGTGGATAATCTCCTGGCCTTCTGAAAGGGGAACAACTTTATGCTCAGAGTGTTAGAAAATATAGTGATTGTTGCCCCTCTTGTTTCAAAATCCCAGAATCGAAGGGAAAAAGGCAAAGCTGGAAGATTTGGAGTTTTAAACCTGTTTTTTCATAAACCAGTAAAGACAGGGAGGAGAGAATCAGCACCTTGTAACTCCAATTATGACACGATCCATAAACACTTAACTGAATCAAAACACTTCTAATAAACTTTTTAGGCTGCAGAACTGAATATACCAAACATAACCACTGTATGAGCAAACAAAACTATGCATTAATACATTTTTATGTTTCTAAATTAACAAAATAACTAGTGATTCTAGAATTGTAACAGGTGCTAAAAATTAAGTAGGCATCTATTCTAATTTTACCCCAATTTTCCATTTTTACTGGGAAGAAAAAACTTATTTTTCCATGAGTATTCAGATACCTTAAGTGATATGTGTCTCTTTCAACCATAGGCACTAGAAAGAAAAAACGTTTTCATTCTCCACCGTGGGGTAGTTTGGGTATAGTGGTGGTATAGTTCTGTCAGTGGGTAGTTGGAGGGCATCAAGAAATGGTAACCACAACACACAGTGGATTGGCTGCTCATTGATCTTGGGCAGTAACTTGGAAGCTGGACACAGCCTTACTGAGCAACCCATGGCCAGACAGCCAATGTCAACTGCAAGATTCTAAGTGCTTTGGCTTAGGAGACCTCACTAGCCCCAACTACATCAGACTCCATGTATGGAGACAAGTCCTGGAGTGAGCCACAAAGCTGGAAACTGTCTGCATGCTATATTATTTTCGAAACCCTAATAGAATCTGAAACAGTTGCCATATATTCAAGTGTATAAATTGGCCTTTAAACTTTCTTTTGTAAAGGGGTGCCTTTAATTGCCAGCAGCTGAGCTCTATGTGAGCTGGTTTCAAAAGCTGCTAAAAGTTTGGGTCAAAACCAACATCTGTATCCAACAATGTTTATGTAAGTCACCTATATACTGGGTACTTTATGCCCCCACAAGGTACAGCAGCAGTAGTCAGTGAAATGACAGCTGATGGCTGTCTGGACTTCTCCTATAACAAAGCCACACTGATTTTCCTGTCCAAACCCAAGGACTATGTATTCTCAAACAGGAAGTAGCTTTCAACATCCTCATCCAATGAGAGTCTGCAATACGTCACATACCATTTGAAAACAGCCAATGGAAGGAAGGTTTTCTCCCCCCAGAGAAGAAATCATTGCTTCTGGTTTGTATATTTGCTTAGCCACCATATACACAGGCAGCCCATTTGGGTTGAACTTTGCTTTAAAAATGTGTCGCATAGTGGTGACCTTGTTCTCTTGCATTGCTACTTGGAAAGAAAACATTTCTAACTAGCCTTTCTTCCCTTCAACTTCCCAACGGCCACCTTATTCTCTGGCTACAATGACTAATACTGAAAATGTACCTAAATGTTTGGTCTTTTCAAATAAAATCTTGGGAACAGAGTACAGGGATTTCCTTACCTCCACTCTTCATCGAGCCACACATTACCACTTTCTTTTGTGGGCATCTTTCTAGCTCATATCCAAAAAGATAGGTCAGTTGGTTTAGTGGTTGGAGCCACCTTGGTGAAAAGGTCAATCATTCATTTGTTTACTAATTCATTTATTAAATTTTTGAGTGTCTAATCACTCTTCCTCTCTGAGACCCAATAATAAACAATGGTGACACAGACATGAAAACCCAAGCTTTGCCCTCAAGGATCCATGCACCAAACTCAGCATCCCCCACCCCATATCGTCAGTAAAATCAGGCCTCCAGGAAGCCACAAAAATGTTCTGCTCTCTCTGTCCTTCCAGACCAAGTCTTCTGCACCATACACTACTAAGAAAACTCAGCAAAAATTGAAGAACAACCCAGTGAACTGTTAAATTCGGTTCTATCTTTAAGTTCAATGTCTTATTTCACATCTTATGGCTCCTTTTTTTTTTTTTTGGTGTCAATAAAGCATATCATTTTCAGTGACTTTTACTTCCCTTTCTATTATCTCACTTGTAGGTGGCACCATAATTTAAGCGATATATATATATATATATATCTGGGTAAGTTTTGCAAAACCTAAAATTTGAGAATCGAATCCTATTTAACAGAAGCCTCTGGTGGCATCTTTTATTTTTATCCCCTTTACTCCTCAAGTTACAAATTTATCTGTTGGTTAAATATGAATTAATGTCTACAGTAAAACAATCGAATCTCTCAGATCATGGGCCGCTCTCATTTTTTTCTGATTAAGCAGAAATACTTCTTCTGCCTTAGAAAATAGAACCTGATAACCATCCCCAAAGAAGATTGTGGGGCCTCCAACAAAACTTTTAACTGAGTTAGAGATGAAAGAGAAGAGGTTAGAAGACAGAGAAGTAAATGTGGACTGAGTCTAATATTATTAGAAATTTGATATGAACTTTTTACCTTGTGAGTTGATTTTCTTTCCCAGGGTTGTTAAACACAGTAAAAAAAAAAAAAATCTAATTCTAGTTATCAAGATTTTATTGCGTTACTTACCCTCATCACCGATTTCTAGAACTTCCAGACTGCCAGAAGCTTCATTTTGTGATTCATCCATAATAGAATCACTAAAGTAAAATGTAGAGAGAAAAAGCAAAAGATTGTCATTTGATATCTAGGCCATAAAACAATCATGTTACCCTAACCCTTATCCTTCAATTAGATTCTTATATTATTCAAAAAAGGTATACAAAGGGAATTACCATTTAAGAGAATTATCTTTCCTTTAAAAAGTGACGATTGCATTTAAATCAAATGTCCAGAATAGACAAATACATAGACATAGAAAGTGTCTTGTTTACGGTTGGGAGGATAGGTTTTGTTTTGGGTTTTGGTTTTGGTTTTGGTTTTTGAGTGACAGAGTACAAGGTTTCTTTTTTTTCCCATTAAATTTACAGGGGTGACATTGGTTAATAAAATTATATAGGTTTCCAGGGTTACTTTTTGAGGTGATGAAAATGTTCTAAAATTAATTGTGATGATGGTTGCCCGAATTTTTGAATATATTAAAATGCATTGAATTGTATACTTTAAATGGGTTAACTGTATGTGAATTATATCTCAATAAAGCTGTTACCCCCTGAAAAAAAAGACAAATGTAAAAAACCTGGTTTATTGCTTTGTGTTGGGGCCAATTACTTTAGATGTAAATACAATTTTAGAGGCCATAGGTGCACTCAGGGAGACAAAACTGTATTAATAAACCATAAAAGAAAAGATTTAAACATTTGACTACATAAAAATTGATAACTTTGGCCACAAAAAAGTAAACAGTCAACAGAAGAATAACAAACTAGGAAACAATACTTGCAACAAATATATATATAGGGGCCAATTTTCTTAATTTGTCAAGAGCACATATAAATCAATAAAAGACAAATAACTTGACATAAAAGGGGGCAAAAGATACAACAGGTGGTTTATAGAAAAAGAAATACAAATAGCTAATAACCACATTTAAAAAGGCTCAGTCCTACTCATAATTAAAGAAATACAAACCAAAATATCAAGTTAATATTTTCACCTATAAAATTGTCAAAAAGTTTTAATTTTGATGATGTTCCATTGCTGACAAGGATAAGAAAAATAGATATTCTCATACATTACAGAATGTGAATTGCTCTGTGAAGAGCAATTTTTCAGTAACAAATATTTTAAAAATGCATATACATTTTGATCAAGTAACATCACTGCTAGAATTTTATAGATATACTCACATTTGAAAACAAAAATATACATGCAAGAATATTTATCACAGCATTTTTTTGTTTTTCTTATTTTTTTAAATTTTTCAATTGCAGTTGGCATACAATATTATATTAGTTTCAGGAGTACAACATAGCAATTAGATATTTATATAACTTATGAAGTCATCACTCCAATAAATTTGGTACTCATCTGACACCATACATTGTTATTACAATATTATTGACTATATTCCTTATGCTATACTTAATATTCCCATTACTATTTTGTAACTGCCGATTTGGATTTCTTAATCTCATTAGCAACCTCTAATACCCCCTCTCATCTGGCAACCCTCAAAATATTCTTTGTATCTATGAGTCTGTTTCTGTTTTGTTTGTTTATTTTGTTCTTTAGATTCCACATATAAGTGAAATCAAGTGATGTTTGTCTTTCTCTGACTTACTCTACTCAGCACAATACACTCTAGGTCCATCTATGTTGTTGCAGAAGGTAAGATTTCATTCTTTTTTATGGCTGAGTAATATTCCATTGTATAAATGTATCACTTATTCTTTATCCATCTATCCATTGGATGCCTCCATATCTTGACCTAGGATGCCTCCATATCTTGACTATTGTAAATAATGCTGCAATGAACATATGGATTCACATGTCCCTTCTAAATAGTGTTTTGGGCTTCTTCGGATAAATAACCAGAAGATAACTGAGTCCTTCTTTGTCTCTTGTTATAGCCTTTGTTTTAAAATCTATTTTGTCTAGTTTAAGAATTGCTACTCCAGCTTTTTGTTTGTTTCCATCTTCATGAAACATCTTTTACCCCTTTACTTTTAGTCTGAGTGTCTTTCAATCTGAGTGAGTCTCTTGAAGGCAGAATATATGAGTCTTGTTTTCTCATCCATTCAGCTACCCTATCTTTCGATTGGAGCATTTAATCCATTTACATCTAAAGTAATTATTGAAGATACATAATTATTGCTATTTTATTGTTCATATTTTTTATCTTTTACTCTTTTTACTTCTTCTTCTTAAAGAAGTCCCTCCAACATTTCCTGTAATACTGGTTGGTGGTGCACTCATTTAGCTTTTCCTTATCTGAGAATCTCTTTATCTAGCCTTCGATTTTAAATAATAACTTTGCTGAGTAGAGTAATTTTGGTTGTAGATCCTAGCTTTTCATCACTTTAAGTGTTTCTTGCCAATTCCTTCTGGACTGCAATTTTCTGTTGAGAAATCATCTGACAGTCTTATGGGAGCTCCCTTGTGAGTAACTAACTGCTTTTCTCTTGCTGCTTTTAAGATTCTTCTTTGTCTTTGGTATTTTAATTATGATGTGTTCTGGTGGGGGCCTCTTTGGGTTCCCGGTTTTGGGGACTTTCTGAGCTTCCTGGGATTTTATGTCCATTTCTTTCATCAAGTTAGGGAAGTTTTCCACCATTATTTCTTCAAATAGCTCTTCAACATCTTATTTTCTTTCAGGTACCCCTGTGACTTGGATGTTTTTACCTTTAATAGTCTCTCCATGCTTCTTGGGCTTCTATGTCTGTTTCCTTCTTCAGGTTAGGCAAGTTTTCTGTCATGATTTCTTGAAATAGGTTTTCAATTCCTTGTTCTCTCTTTTCCTTCTGGTATCCCTATGATGAAAATGTTGATAAACTTGATGTTGTCCCAGAGGCCCCTTAAACTATCCTCATTTTTTTAAATTCTTTTTTCTTGTTGCTGTTCTGCTTGGGTGTTTTCTGCTACCTTCTCTTCTAAATCACTAATTCGATCCTCTGCCTTATCTCATCTACTGTTGATTCCTCCTAAGGCAAGGGTTCCCAACCCCTGGTCCATTGAACAAGTACTGGTCCATGGCCTGTTAGGAACCAGGCCTCACGACAGGAAGTGAGCAGCAGGTGAATGAGTGAAGCTTTATCTGTATTTGCAGCCACTCCCCAGAGCTAGCATCACCACCTCAGCTCTGTCTTGGATTGTTAGGCATTAGATGCCCTAGGAGCACCTGTCCCTGGTGCCAAAAACGTTGGGGACTACTGTTCTAAGGTATTCATTTTAGTTTTTTGTATTCTTCATTTCTGACTGGTTCCTTTTTATGTTTTCTATCTCTTTCTTAAAGTTCTCACTGAGTTCATCTACTCTTCCTCTTTCATTGAGCATCTTTATAAGAAATGTTTTAAAATCTACTTGTCTCCATTTTGCTTAGTTCTTTTACTAGATTTTTGTTCTGTTCTTTCATGTGGGATATGTTTCTTTTTCTTCTCATTTTTCCTGCCTCCCTATGTTTGTTTCTATGTTTTAGGTAGGGCTGCTATGTCTCCTGGTAGAGTGGCCTTATATGGTAGGTGTTCTGTGGGGCCCAGAGGTGCAACCTCCCTGGCCACCTGAGATGGATGCTCCAGGTGTGTCCTTTGTATGGGTTGTGTGTGCCCTCCTGTTGTAGTTGAGCATTGGTTGCTGTTTGTACATTAGTGGGTAAGATTGACCTTTGGGATGATTGGTTGTGAGGACTGGCTGGTGACTATAGTGGAGGAGCCATTGTGCAGGGGTTGACCCTATGGAGCATGAAGAACTTTAGCATGGCTATGGTGCCTGCCCAGTCTGCCCTTTGGGTGTGTTGTCCTCGGATGTGGCCCAGGGAGGTGCTCAGGCTCAGTCCAAAGCTGGCCACCTGGAGTGCTGGCCCTGGGGCTTCCTGGGAGGGGCCCCACCACAGGCCAATTTCAGCCATAGCATGTTCCCTGCCTGGGGCCATCTAGCAGGAGCCACTAAGCAATCCACAGATGGCCACCACCCACACTGGGCTTGGAGGTACCTCCAGAGGCCAAGCCATGAATCGAGGCCACCTGCTGTGGTGCCAAGCTTGGAACTGCTCAGCAAGAGGTACTGGGAATGCAGAGCCTAGATGCTGCTTGTTTGGGTTTTGTGAGCCTTTGAGAGATTTTAAGAAAGTATGCAGCGTGAGCCAAGATAGGTCATTTGTATGGAAAATCCACTGGAAGTGGTTGGGGTGGGCCTGCAATTTGGGTGGGTTGGGGTCTCAGGGAATCACCAGGGCAGAGCGACCAGTGTTAGCCAGGCTGATGGAGACTTGGGTATGGCAGCCACCTGCGTCTACAAGTTGGGCGAGGGGTGGGATCAACAAATGAATAATGGCTTCTGCCAGCATTTGTGTATGGGAGTAATCTGCCCCTCCAGCCTTCGCCCTGAAGCCAGACAATTCAGTTCCTCCTTGTGTGTCCCTGGCACCCTTTGAGCCACTGCCCCAGCGCTGGAGCCCAGGAACGGTGAGTCTGTCAGCAAGTAAGTTCATGCCTGGGCCCTCCAAGAGGAACACCTAGGACCTCAGCAGCGCTTTGCCTCACTCAGCCACAATATTTGCTGATTTCACATCCAAGTTTGTGGGGACTCCTTTTCCTGGCACTGGGACCCCGGGCTGGGAAATCTATGGTAGGGGTGGGCCCCCTCGCTCCTCCAGGGGGACTCCTGCAGCAGAGATATTCCTCCCAATTCTCAACCACCACACATAAGTGTGGGACCAGCCCATTTCACATCTCCACCCGTCCTACCAGTCTCGAGGTGGCTTCTTATGTATGTCCTTTGTTATAGGGTTTCTGTTCAGCTAGACTTCAGGCTATTTTCAATTACGGTTGTTCTGTAGTTTAGTTGTAATTTTGATGTGGTCTTGAGAGGAATCAAACACAGAATTTACCTACTCCACCATCTTAACCAGAAATCTCTATTACAGCATTATTTTAAATAGCCCAAAATGGGAAACAACCAAAGTGACCATCAAAGGA